AGCGGCTCTCCCAGGGTTCCCTCATCTGAGATCTCTGGGGAAGAGGATCAAGTATGGAAAGTTACAATCCCTACCACGGAATAGTGCACCTACACGCCTTCATCGACGTTGTTTTTTGACCGGAAGGTGTATTGAAATCTACAACTTTTAAGATTCTAGCAATGTAAAGTAACTACAAATATTAATACCTATTTGTTCTCATTAACTAATATTTGTCTCTTCATTTTCTTTAACGTTAAGATTATTTAATTTTCATAACTGTTCAAATATTCTCAATTCATTAATAGTAAAAAAAGTTTATTGCTCAATATTTTTCAAAAATAAAATAATCAAATATGAATATAACATTTTTATTTAGTCTAGGGATAAAATGGTAATTCAACTTTACATTTTGGAGCTTCCCACTTATAATATAATATGATATGATGATATATTAGTATAAGAATGATGAATGACCTTTGAATTAAAAAGGCTAAAATAGCATATTGCATTTGAGTCGGAGATTTAAATTTAAGATGGTTTTTTAGCTTGATTGACATGGTTTCCTCTTCAGTTATTTCACGTACTTGCAGTTCTTTTCAATTGCTCCACCCATATAATTGCACATATGTCGACATCTTGAGCGACATATGTACCTTGTTCTTACTAGCAAAAAGACAGAAAGCTATTATAGCATTGTTACTCTTGCTGGTTTGTTTCCCCTGTTGCTCAGAAATAACAAATTTATTCATGAGTGTCCAAATGGCTTATGCAGCTCATGCTTTGGTTTCATCATGTTTCTTGCAGAGATTAGGCCTGCTGAACTGTTTTTCCAGATGCATTTGCTTGCTAGACGGCTGACGGAAGGTTCCGTAGCTATGTCCAATCTGGAGCCATCTACAAGTCCTCTAAGATGGATACTTCAAGCTATCCATATCAATCCATCTTGTTTGAGATATTGGAGAGCTTTGCTGAAATTTATGGAGTAATTTGCAAGCTCTGTGAACTCGTACGACTACTCAAATTCCGTCTTTTCTGCTACTGACTAGGCATTTCATTTTTCTACTTTCCTTTCTGGAATCCGGCAAATATTATGGTTAGTTTAATTTATGATTCCATCTTTTTATTTGGTCATTTTAATTCTTCTTCCTTCTTTGCACTTCTCGATTCCGTAACGTGTATGTATAGTTATGCCATAGACATCTCATTAGGCGCTCTGGCAGCCGTCTAACAACAACTGTACCAGACAAACTTTACTTCAAATGAGCAGATGTTACTGGCAGGTGCAGAGGTTCAGTAAGCGTTATCGGTATTGAGGAAGAATCGGTTTGAAAAATGTTAAAATTATAGGGGCACAATTTCTTCTTTTTGATTGTACAAAGAGAGGGGAAAATGTAATAATTTTCCATCGTAGTTTGTTCATTTACGTACCAAACTCAGGAGCTCTTATTGAGATCCTCAGCTTAAGCACTTGAACACTTGGCACATGTCTAATTACCAAGTCACTTGTTTGAATCGAGTTCAGTTTGATCTTCCATTGTGAGTGGCTGACCACCTTATAAAAGCTAGTAGCTAGTGCTTAATGTCATGCAATAATTGGGTTTTATGTATTTATCTCAAAAGATCTAGAATGCCGAGATCTTTTGATATTAATAGCCATTTTAGTAATACTAGAGAAGCCATAGTGTTCAAACGGACCACACACTAACTACATTTGTAAATATTGAAAATTATATAGAATGAACCACACACTAACTTCGTAGTTGAGTTTATATTTTAACATATAACTCGTATATATACATGTAGAAGTGCTATAATCTCATGTCCATTTGACCCAATTTTTGAGTTGAGAAAACTAGGCACATGTGTTGTGTATATCTCTTGTTAGAATATGAAACTGAAATAAAATGCTCACATAAAACCACTAATCATAAGAAGAAGAAGAAAGAAGAGAGTATTGAATCCCTAATAATGATCTGGAGGTGCGACAAATATGCCTCAAATGTATAACAAAAGTTGATTGCAACTTTACAAAAGAAAATCTATACGAGGTGTTTAAAGAAAGAGATGTAATAAGTTGCTGACATTAGTTTTTTTGTAATTAATTAAATGTAATATGTACCTGGTTTTTCTTCTCTTCTCGCTTTTTAGCCTTTGTGTTCGTATAATTTGTATTCGAGCAATCATACAGGAACAAACCAAAGTCCTAACGTTGTTACCCTTGCTATTTATTTCAACTTTTCTCAATAAAAACATATGATCTTGCTGTGAGATATATAGTGGTAGTATCACTCAACCACAGCCAGCATTTTATCTCTAGCACTCAAAATTTTCGATCATGCTTGTATTTGCAATGCCATATCCTGCAGCATGACCTGACAGCGCAGAGGAATCCTATGGTTGATAGAAGCAACACCGCAAAAATTGGAACCAACACTATCAGGACATGGAAATTCAACATGAAAAGGTATATTAATATTAAGCTATTAACCAAGTTGAACCAATACCTTCAACCTAGTACGGCCTAAAATGTTAACAAAGTCTTCAGCAGGCAAAAGAGCCTGGATTTCTTAATGTACTTTGGCCATTCATTCGTACGTCACACTCTATTTACGCCTAATTCAATAACTAAGTTATCGTTTTTATCACTTCTTTGCAGTCTCCTAAAGAATGAGAACAGGGTAAGTTCTACATTAGGAATCTTTATACTGATTTAGGCTCTATGTGTAATTCCACAAGTGGGGTCTAGGGAGGGTATAATATATGCAAATCTTAATTATACCTTGGGGAAATCCGAAAGATCCTCAACTCAAATATAACAAATCAAAGTAAACGAAAAGGAATACGGCAGTGAAGAGAACATGTCAATCAATAAGGAAGGTAGTACAAAGCATTCAGAGAAAATAAAAACATTAACAACAACGGGATAATGCCGAAACTAAAAAGAAAATACATGTACAAGACTAATACTACAACAGACACAGGCACAGCGCTTCTAGGCTCCCACCAAGCCTAAACCAGTCGCAAAGCGAGACAAAGCTCAACTACCTACTAACCCTCTTATCATAATCTGCGACCTATATACCCTCTTATCTAAGGTCATATCCTTATCAGTGTTATCAAAGGCACGCTTTAAGCGCGCTTAAGCCCTTAAGCGAGGCTCAAAAATTGTTGAGCGCTTCACCTCGCAAAGTAATAAACATTCAATACTTCACTTTATAATTAAAAAAATTCAATTTCATTGGTCATATATATATATATATATATATATATTGGTCTTGGACTAAACATATGTATTTGTATTTCTTCTCACTTTGCACCTTTTTTCATTAATTAACTTTTGGTCAATCACAACACCTTGGTTACCACACACATGGAAAGTATAATAGTATATGGTTTATCACTTTAACCCAATATATTCATTTTTCTTGTTAAATAGTGACTATGGATTTCGGAAACAAAGAACTTATAAAAAAGTCAGATGAGGAACACTTAATGGCTCATTACTGATAATAAAAGTTAAAGATGGCATGGCTGCCTTTTTCAAAGAAGTTAAATGGTGGCAAGGGAGTGGAATTCCTTTTAGGAGAAAAGGAACGATGCTATGGCTATACATTGGAAGAGTTATTAGTCCAGGTTTGTTTTATCCATATTTTGGAGACAGGGTATTAAGTCAACAAAAGCTTCCGGCTCAAACACATTTGCCATGGTCTTGTTACACCAAAAACTAAGCAAATCACTTTTATTCAAAATTAACTAAATTGCCTTTTTGTCTTCAGAAACTCTAGCATTCCTTTCTCTCCATGGGACCACCACACCACAGAGGGGTTGCTTTTAAGACATCTTTTATGCAAAAAATTGATGTGTTTACTTGAGTTTTCTAAGTTGGAGACATATTCCTAATAGTTGCAAGGTGAACTCCTAGGAGAGTCACAATCCTTCATTTCCTATTCACACCTTTAAAACCCAACAGTTGCAAGGTGAACTCTTTGATGCACTAAAATCTTTGACATCTTTTTTGTTAGTGTAGTTAATTACATCATAATTCTGAGGTGGAGGTTTTTGGTTCTGCAGCAAATCTTCTGTCTAGCATTCATGAACAACATCTCTTTTCAGTCATACAAAACTTTCTCCACTGTATGACCCTTCAGATTATCTTCTTTGCTCGTTTTCCAGCTAATTGATCCTTAATAAGCCTAATAATTTTCATACATTTCCACATTAAGCACTCAATTTATATTAATCACAGTGAAAAGTAATGCACCTTTCATTGAAGGGGAAGATTGCTTCTGGTTACTACTTCCTATTTGCTTAAAGAAAATTCTTTCCAATTTCATATTCATGCATTAATTCCCGCGCAGATGGGACGTAAAGCCATAAGATCCTTCCAATTCTTTAATAATTCATTACTCTTACCTTGACACCACCTTCACACAAAGGAAACAGAGACAAAAAATTTGCGTAGGCAGCAAACAAAAAAGAAGAGCAAGAACATGGTGTAGCAGTATGGAAAGCCAGCATACGGAATTAAGTGGTAGGTGGCATTTTTCACAAATGCAGATTAAAGCAATGTGTGTGCAGAGGAGAGAACAAGAATAGACATGCAAGTAAACAATAAGCTAGAAGTATAATCAGTTTGTATGGTTATCTATATTTGTTTAAGGGGGTTAACTTTTAATTATAAACACATCAATCAGAATATCAGTAATAACGAAAATGACGAGTTTGAGGGTAATTACCAGCTAAAGTGGAAAAGAAAAATATTGCCAGCCGGTATCTGACAAACCATGGTAAGTCAACTTCAAGAGAGCAATACTTCTGGAATTTTCCCAAGCCAATGGTCATTTCAGAGTCCATCTTTCGCCTTGGAGTTGTGATAGTGAGATTTTCAATGCACTAACTGGCAACTCCTTTTCATCTCTGACATGAAACTTCAAATCTACTGGATTTGAATCCCAATTGATCTGAATGGTACCAACGTTTGGTTGACCTAGATTATATCCACATACTGAAGATTAATTATCTAGACACAAAAGCTGTCATAGTACATATTTTTAAAAGGGCACAGGAAAATGGGTAAGAAATGTTAAACCATAAGTGCACGAGCGGTATCTGCAGCTTTTGTCCTTTATTCTCATTATAGCTGGAGTTAACCATGCCAAAATTCTTGCAATGAAACGCAGTGGTGGAGATACTGCTTTCTCCACCGCTTGAGTAAGGTCACTTGATGTTTATGTCATAAGGGATAACCAGCTGCACAATTATATCTTGCAATTTCTCCAAAGTGAACATCTCCACTTATGAAGAAAACCCCTTCCCTCAGTACAAGGAAAACAACTAAATCCATCATGTGTATAGATAAATGTGGATGAAACTAGATAAAGCAAATCTCACTTCTGCATAAACATGTTACCCAAGGAAAAGCCAACAAAACTGAAGCAGGTGTTATCAGAAATCACAATTTTTTAATCTATTCTTTTTAAGACAGTAGGATATGTCAAATTTCAAGTTGCTCTAGTCAGAAATTCTCTTGCCAATTAGGACTAGCTAAATAAAAAAAAAAAGAAAAGAAGTTCAAAATGAAGAAAGAGAAGAAGGGTCCACCATGGCACCAATCTTCCCCACCCCCCAAAAGCTCTCTTTTCTTCAGTCACTAGGAGATGTGTATCGTAACTTTTTCTTGATCAGTAAAAGATAGTGTTTATGTATTGCAACGTCAAGAAGATGCTGAGAAGTGTACATACTTTTGAATGTGCTAAAAAATCAAGCATAGCTTCTACACCACCAATTAAAGCTATGTTGCACCAAAATGTAAGGAGATACATCTGTATTTAACTACAAATACAGTTCACTATTGCTCTCGAAAATCCTAGCTCTTCTAACCATCCAAGTAGATAAACATAAAGCTGCAGGGATCAAGTTGTTTACTTGGACCTTTTTTGTGCCAGCAATGCAGCAGATACAGAGTCCAATTAAAGGCCAAAAATGTTAAAGATGTTCCATAGCTGAATAGTGAATTTGCAATGGAGAAAAGGATGATCCGTGTCCTTAATTTGGCTATTATTGAGGCCTCATATTTGAAGATTTCTGTGGGCTAAAACAAAATCCTTTGCGACCAACCAGGTAAAACATTGACCTTTGATGGGGCTGATTTTTCTGGAGACCTTTCCACAGCTACAGGGGCTGATCCTAGAGAACTGCATATATCCAGATTTAATAGAGAAGTGATCAACTTTGACTCCTGCCCAGATCAGACTGCCGGGTGTGCTTTGAGGGTTAATTTGAAGATAACAAAAGAGAGCAGAAATCATGACCTTCCCAGTCATTGAAAGGTCTTCTGAAAATGATGTTTATCTTTGTTCGGACCAGCAACTATGGACCGTTGCTTGGGGATTAGAGACCACCCAAATAGATTGAGGAATCTCTCTTTAAAAGGAGAGTGAGTATCTCTCAAAAGCTGGTGCTCTTTCCATACCAACATGAATGCAGGTGTCAAGCCTCATAGTATCACAAACCTTCCAGATGCCATGTCCTTTAGGATAGAGTGTAAATATGTTTATTATTGCATCTAATGTAAATATGTTTCATACTATTCTAATTGGTTACTTGAAGTCACATAGTTGAAATATATATGCTTTTCTCTAATTTTCTAACTACTTGAGTAAAATAACTAAAATTATAATAGCTACTGCCACTGCAAGATAATAATTTCACAAGGAAGTTAAAATGACATTTTACTAACAACACCATTATAATGGAATTTGACAATCATGCCAAATTACCAATTTTTTTAAAAAAAATGGAATTTGACCATCATGGACTGTACTAGGGTACCTGAAGAGGGTTTATCAGAATTTCCGTGCTTACATATTAACACCATGTACTATGCTGAGTTGTAACTATAGTACATGGTAAATTCCTTTGGCTTCTTTATATATTTACTTCTTTGTATTTTGAATTCTCTTCTATAAGAGTTGTTACCTTGACTAGGATGTGCGTTTCATTTTTGGGCAATAACAGCAATAATTGGTGTTAATAGCGACCTCTTGGTTTCTTCATGCTTTAGTACTTTTCATAAAGATCTGAATAAGAGACAATAGAATCTCTTGCACGGGTAGTAGTAGTTCAATAGAGTTTTTATGGAATTCGAGTCCAGGTCCAATGAGAATTTTGACAATAAATTCCTCATTAAACAAAGGAGATCAGTGGCAAGTTCATTACAAAGAGATCGAATTTGGTAGAGATAATCGACGGAATTCCTTGAAGAGAAGAGTCAGACGATCGTGTAGACTAAAGATTTTTGTTTGCACTGTTGCACATGCAGTGTGCAAAGCATCCCAAGCAGCCTTGGAAGTGATTGTAGTTGCAACTGTAAGATCAACTGAGGTCAATATAGTGTTTTGAGTTGGTTGATCTTGGCGATATCATGAAACAAAATCAATATTTTTTTATATTATTTTTGACATCTTGATTATTTTTAAGTCATTGTTTGAGTAGGGCAGGGAGAGAACCATCGAGATGGCTATAAAGGTTGTTTCCACACATAATAATGGATATTTGAGCTTTCCTAAGGAAAAAATATTGCCTACCAATTAATATGATTGGTAACTAGGTGGCAGAATCAAACTGAACAATTGTTGAGTTGGTGTTGACTGTTGACCCATCATGGTGGGAGGGCTTATCGATAAAAAATATTCGCACGGGTTAATTGGCTTTGATACCAGATAAATTATATAGCTAGCAATAGAATGAAGTTAGAGAGATACTTTATTGATTGTACTTCGGGTATAAATAGATTTTATACAACTCTTGTAGCAAAGAGGTAAACTAAGAAATGGATAAGACCTATCCAAACATAACCTAAATACAAGGAGTAAGTTACAGCAGTGTCCTACAGAACAAGAACTACTAAATCTGATATTTAAAATAGGAATTAGATAATTATCTGTAATTAGAAGGGAGACTCCCTTCATATTAAACTAGTTAGGTATCCTGAGTTACTATCAACTAGAAGGTAGGACTTATCTCTTACATTTACTGAATTAATACACATCGTACACTTACCCAGCAAATTATAATAGCAATGATTCACATTGAACTTGATAACTATAAATATCTCCTCAAGTGCAAGCCATAGGTTCCCTAGAGTAAATGAATGACTTATACAAAGGTCAAGAAGAAAACATATTTGATATCTGAATAAATGAGTAATAGTTGTAGGAGGACCTTTCAACTCCCTCTCCAACCACATCCATTGTGCATCTCCTAAGATATTTTCATCACTAGACAAAGGATCTCTGTGATATCTTGTATCCAAGAGAATGACCTAGAGAAAACTATCCATTAGATCAAAACAATACTAAAGGTGGTCACTATTCCAAACTTCTATACAAGATACATTTTTGAAAGAGAAATGGAGGTTAATAAAAATTAGTTTGTTGATGATAATGATTGCAATTATTGAAGTGATAATAATAAGAATCTCATATAAGAAACATCATATTGACATGAACGAAATGTATATATTGTGTATAAATCGAGAGAAAATTGTATATACACATGCAAATACATATATCTTCGTCCTATTCACTTATAATTATACAATACAAATATTTCCCTACCAGTTTTCTTTTGTCTTTCTATCTTTCTCGTTTTATACATACAAAAATTATATAATTGATCTTTTGTGTACAACTGCTTTCTTTTGTATATGTATAATGAATAATACAACTGTTTTTTTGTATATGTATAGCGAAATATACATATTTATGTTTGGCTATGAAGCGTAATTATACAATTTTTGCTATCACATACAAATATAATTTTGTATTTGCCATACGTGAAAGTTGCTCAATAAACCATACTTACTAATTGATTTATGATATTAAACTTATTTTCCTATTTTAGGCTAACTTATAAGTTAATCAATAAAGGATTTTATTTTCAAAACCCAAATATACAAAAATAATTTAGTTATTTTCTCTCTCTAATTTGGTTGACAATTTATTTTAAAGGAGTCCTAGAATAAACACAGGCTTAATTATCTTTTGTTAACAAACTTTTGTATTGCTCAATTGTGGTTTATTCTAGGAAAATTGTATATAGTGGCAAACTAAAAATCAAATTAATATAGCCATTCTTTGATTTTATTGTGTCCCGTAGCAAACTGTTTGCCAGTTAGCTCTCTTACTCAAACTCTCGCTCGCCACTCTCCTCTCTCGCTCCATCTCTCACTCACTTCCTCTCACTTTTATACAAACACAAGTGTATAAAACATGTTTCTATTTGTATAAACCAGAGGAAATTATATAAATACAAATATTTTTGTTCCCCTCTCTCCCCTCTTCTATATCTCGCTCGCCACTCTCCATAATCTCGCTCGCCACCCTCGCGTCTCTCGCTTATACAAACAGAAGCAAAATGTATAAATTGCGTTTCAGTTTGTATAAAGCGAGAGAAAATTATAGAGAAACTTACATAATACCAGTTATAGCAATAACATTTTTTTTTCCACTTGATCACTTTTAATTCATTTATAATACAAGTTTAATACATATTACAAAGAACACCTTATTCACATATAATACAAGTTTTAATGATGGATAATGTATTTATCACACATTTTAATACACTTATAATACAATGTGACAATTTTTTACCAAACAAACATAAGATATTTCAAAAACAATTATAATTCAAATATATTGCATACATAATTCACTTTTAATACATATTACATATTTATCACAGTATTGCTATAAATGGTAATAAACAAAAAGTATCGCTAAAATCAGTAATTATTTTCAAAAATGTATTAATTAATGTAATTTTTCAAAAATTATATATGCACATGTAAATACATATATTTTCATCCTATACACTTATAATTTTACAATAAAAATAATCTCCTGCCCAATTTCGTTTGCCTTTCTCTCTTTATCGTTTTATACAAATTCAAATTGTATATAATTTCTCTCTTTCTCGTTTTACACAATTCGATTCAATTGTATATTCTCTGCCCAAGTCTCTTTTGCCTTTCTCTCTTTCTCATTTTATACAAATTCAAATTGTATATAATCGTTCTATACATTTATAATTATATAATTCTTTTTATAAACTTCGTTTTTATAGATTTCTCTGCCCAAGTCTCTTTCTTTTTTCTCGTTTTATACACTTTGTTTTATACAATTCACTTCTGTTGTATATGTATAGAGAATTATACATTTATATGTTTGCTATAGAGTGCAATTATGCAAACTTTGATAAAACATATAAATATAAATTTTATGTTTGCTATACGTGAAAGTTGCCCTTTATTCTTTGCAATAGCTATATAGAGTTCTCTAGCTATATATCTATGTTTCATACATGAATTTATAATGTAGCACTCTTCATATTTTCTCCTTGCATTTTAATAGCTACGAGTAGAGATTAAAATTATTTTTTGGCAAGTAGCCTACTTCACTTTTTTTTTCTAGTTTCATTTATCTCGTCTATATAATTACAAAAATCTGCTAAAAGTTACATAAATAGATAACTTAAAATATTATAATCTCTAAAATTTCCTGTCAATTAAAAAAATTACAAAAATACATATATATATATACTTATCCCTCTAAGATATATTTCTCCCACCTCTCAGACACATCCCTTCCATTAAGTAATGACCACCAAGGAATGTATCCAAGAACAATGACACATCCCAAGATTTTTGTAATTGAAAAAACTTCCGAGAGTGAATGTAATTAAGCCCCAAATGTATTGAGATTTTTCTATAAGTTGTCTGAGTTCTAGACATCTTCCTTGCCTGTCTGCAACTCGAGCACATTTAGATTTTATATTTAACCCAACTTAGGAAATTAAAAGACAATTGCCTTGAATTATTGATTGTTGCATCTGATGTGATTTATTTTCTATATGACCTTCCTTTGACAGGTTAAAATATGTTTATGGACAGTTACATTATATTAAAGTTCAGGACACAATTATGCAGCAGCAGTTGTTTCAGGTGCACGAAGAACTTGTTGCAGTAAGCGCGCTGCAAGACGTTGAGATATTCCACCAACTACGCGCCCTCCAATACTGCGTGCTTCTGGTTCTTGAAGTACCTGCTCAAGTATGGTTAACCAATTAGCAACAAGGACAAACTCTTAGCTTCAGAAATACAAAACCCTTCTTCAATGGAGTTCGGTTGGAACACATACCCAACACCGACTTAGAAGCTTGAATATGGCGAAAACACCAAATGCTGAACAACACATCAATGCAATTACAATGGTATATAACACTAGTAAGCATCATGCTTTACCAACAAAGCCTTTTCCCGCCCTCCTACACCACCCAACTAAATGAAGAACAATGGGCAAGTGCATTTCAAAACAAAAAGATCCATGTATAATTATGGGTATATATATCATTTATGTGTGAAACCATCTTTGCATTACTCAGCTAAGAACACATGAACATAGGGATGACAATGGGGCGGGGCGGGGCGGGGCGGTTTTTTAAGTTTGTGTGGGGCGGGTTGAAGTGGGTTGCGGGTAAATGTGAGTTTAAGCGGGTTGAAACCTAATTTCAAATTTTTATTGTTATAAGAGTGATAAAACATATATCTTAAGATAATTTCTTTAAAGCTACTAAAATATTCAAGATAGTAAATGAAAATGGTTCAATAAAAGTAAATACAATCTCTTACATGTTCCTTAATTGACCTCCAAAATATAAGTTTTTAAGTCATTATCTAATAAACTAATACATCTTAATGAAAAAAATGAACTTATTTGTATGCATTTTACTTTTATATCAAACTTAACTAGAAAAAGAAAATATTAAAAGAAACTATGCAGGGTGGTGTAGGTTGAAAATGAAAAAAAAGTTGTTATGCGGGGAGGATTAAAGAATTTGCAGGTTAAGCTCAACCCACCCCGCCCCCGCCTTGAACCGCCCCATTCCATCCCTACATGAACCACTTGATTCCAACTATTAAAATTACATTACATGGAAAGAGAGTGCTTCTAACCTGCAAAATTGGTTGCAAAAGATTCGGATCAAAATTCTCTGAGGATTGCAATAGTCCCCATATCTTGATCACCTGTGCCCTAAGTTCCATTAAGCTCTGTTGCTCAGCAGCACTTATTGTAAAGGGACCACTTGCATTTCCATTGAAAACAAAAGTCCTCATGGGACCAGGAACAGAATTAAATGATTCAATAGCTGAACCCAGAATAATAGCTTCACTGACACGGATTGCTTCTTTGATAACCAAATCCCTTAATTCTTTACCATCTGGACCCAACAACAACTTCAGGACAGGTTGCAACGCATCTTTTGCAGAAAAGTCCCTGTCTTTCTTTCCCTGGACAAGCAAGTTTTCAAGTCTACTCCACCTGTAATAACCAAGAGTAAGAGCTTCATGTTGTTAGCAGCGCATCAGAAGAATGAACTAAGTTTAGTTAAGGAGCAAAAAACGGAAAAGTGAAGCCTGCCTGAATTTCCCATCCTTGAAAAGTAACTCAATGAGAGCATCTCTCAGATATGGATTAGGATCTGTAAGAAGCCTTTTAGCAAAATATGGATATGAAGCAGCCAGTACTTTAAACTTAGGATCAGCATATAATGCTAAACCTTCTAAAACAGTGAGAGATCTCAAAATCAATGCGTAATAAGCCGGAACTGCATGAATTTCAAACAGCCAAGGCAGCAATGTCAGGCACGGTACAAACAATTGACTTGACTTATTATTTGCAACGATATCTTCTTAAAGTTTATCCGTTAAGCATTTCAATATTGATCAGCATACATTTGATTGCAAGACTAGCAACTCACCATTAAAGGGATATTGATATAACACAGCACCCAGACCATCTACAAGTGTTTTGAAGTTAAGTTCGCTTACTGTTGAATTAAGTGCATCATCGAAGAAGTCTCGTAATGCTGGTACAATTGGAGAAACATCCACATTGGGAGACAAAAAGTCTAAAGCATAGTAGTCACGAGCCATCGCTTCATAATCCCGATTGACCATGTGAACAACATGACCAATAATAGCAAATCTTGCTTCTTCAGGAGTTTCACTCATCATCCCAAAATCAAGAAAAGCAAGCTTTCCCTCAGGTGTCGCCAAAAGGTTCCCAGGATGAGGATCAGCATGAAAATAACCATACTCAAGCAGCTGTCTGAGACTGCATTGGATGCCCGTATTTACCAGATCCAAAACCTTTAGCCCTTGCCTCTCAATAGCTTCTTGCTCGTTCAACTTGACACCTTCAACCCACTCCATCGTTAATACCTTCCCACTTGTGTAGTCCCAAAAAATATCGGGAACAAGAACATCTTCTTTGTCAGCGTACAACTTTTTAAATCTCCTTGCATTCTGCCCTTCCTGCATTAACCTGTCAAAATTAACATTCAAACCCAGAGGAATGTTGTAGAAGTTTATCAACTATGCTGCTCTTCTTCTTCAACACTACCTTGACTCCAGATATATAAAGTTAAATCATCCAATATGCATCCATTTAAAGAATTATCTAAGAGTGTTTCAAAACTAACCTGTACATAGTTGAGCTCTTGATAAACTCTGCGAGCAAATTCATCAATAAGAGCAACAATGTCACTCGAAATTATGTCAACATATTTATTAATCAGTATGCCTACTCCCCTTATTAGGTAGAAGTCTAATCCTATTGCTTCTTCAATACCTGGCCGTTGCACCTTCACAGCAACGACCTGGCCCGAGTACTTCAGTTGAGCTTTATAAACTTGACCAAGACTGGCTGCAGCAATAGGCGATGGAGATATAGATGAGTAGATAGTTTCAAGCGGACGACCCAACTCTCTCTCAATGCATGAAAATGCTTGTGCATCTGGAAATGTTGGCAAAGCATCCTGCTCAGTAGTTAAAAAGGTCAAGTTTATTTGGGCAATCAAAGGTTGTATTTCAGTTAGAAACAATATAAGCTGATAACAAGTTATATCTCAAGGTTTTCAGTAGAAAGTCAATTTACCCGATATACAAAGAAAAAGTAAGGTAAGGATAAATAGTGATTAGCCTAGTGTATTTCCACCTTTCATTTTGCTTTTCAATCAAATAAAAGATTCCATTGATAATAACAAGGCCAACTTGGCCGTATATAAGTGGTATACTGATGTTCGGGCAAAAATGCATATATTCTTTGCCTCACATTCAGTATTTTTATTATTGTGTTCTATTAGTGTTAACTGTATGGATTGTAATATTCATATGTTTTGATATGTAGGAGTTCTTGAGGGAATTGGACCCTAAAGGCCTAAACAAGAGAAAAAGAAGCAAAAAGGAACCAAAAATTCTCCAGGAAGAATCGACGTTGCAAAGCATCACAAAAGATGCGGAAAATGGTCAAATAGAAAAACATGGATTCTAATGCATGAAATGGTTTTTGCGAAATATTACAAGAAAATGCTGTTTGATTATTCCATCAATCTACCAGTTTTCAGCTCCCATTAAATATGCGCCTGTTGGTTTTATTTAACCCATTTTTGCTCAGTCCATTCATAACCAACCCAAAACCAACCTAGCTCACTCATTTCCCAGCACACAGTGAACTATACTAACTAAGCCAAAATTATGTTTGTAATGGAAATTCACGGAAATTCCACAAGGAAAATATTAGGACACGCATTCACAATACAGGAAAGAAGCAGGCAGGGAGAAAATACCTGCAGCTCCGAGAGCTCCTCAAGGTACTCGGGTGGGCATAAATCAGGCCTAGTGGATAAACCCTGACCAATTTTAACAAATGTAGGCCCCAATCTGGTGAAAGTCTGCCTAAGTTCAATGGCACGCAATCTCATTTTCCGATCAAGCTCCCCGTTCAACTGGTCAAGCCATACTTTTAGGGCGAATGAACCAAGTCCATTGAATATTTGAAGAGCTCTTCTCAGTACCTACAAAGCAATCAAACTAATTGGACTTGCATCTAAATTTCTAGTCTGAAGAGAAATCAATTTAAGTTCGTTATTTAGAGATTTACCTTAATTGGGCGAGTGCCATACTTGCTGGATAACATATCAGGGCTATAAACAGAAGCATCCACAGCACGTGTCATAGCTCTGGCTTCAGATTGCATATCGTCGGCTCGATCTCTGCTAGATGGACCAACTTGAAGGGTTCGCCCAGTAACATTACTGTTCCCGGCTACATCTCTAATTGCTGGTACTAGTTGAGGCCTCGCCTCCACCTGAGCTGCTCGAGGAAGATTTAGTCTTAACTTAACTCTCCGTCCGCCGGAGCTATTAGCTCCTGAAAGCCGAACCGCATCGGCGCAGGAAGGCAGCATAACATGATGATTGGCCGTGAATGATGCCACGGAAGAACTCATCCTGACAGACGCTGCCGGTGGAGAAACTTACGGAAAGGGTAGGAAGTACAGGTGGAGCAACAACGAATGTATCACCTTGCCAATATTGCATAATTTCTCACTAATTCCATTATTTATCTGGCCCTTATTATTTTTTCCACCATTCCCCGTTACGTGGCTGCACTTTGTACGCAAATAATGAAAAACATTTTATGGAAGAGGCACGAGTTGATTTTGTACGAAAAACATTTTAACTCTATCATCCGGCAAATAAATTATCATCATTACCAACTTACCCCTTTATCTAGGTTTTATTCCAAATCTCTCATCTCTCCCTTCCATTTTTTTTTTTGGGATAATGCCCAAATACCCCTCAACCTATGCCCGAAATCTCAGAGACACACTTATACTATACTAAGGTCCTATTACCCCCTGAACATATTTTATTAATAATTTTTTACCCCTTTTTAGCTTACGTGACACTATCTTGTGGGCCCAACGATGGTTGACTTTTTTTTTTAACTAGTGCCACGTAGGCTAAAAAGGGGTATAATATTACATATAAAATAAGTTCAGGGGGGTAATAGGACCTTAGTATAGTATAAGTGTGTCTCTGGGATTTCGGGCATAGGTTGAGGGGGTACTTGGGTATTTTTCCTTTTTTTTTTTTACAATTGTTATTTTCTTTCCTTTCCTTGTTCAAGAAAATCAATTCTTTCAATTTCATATACTTTGTTCAAGAAATCTCAATTAATTCAAAAGATTTTTCACCCATTGATAACGGTAAATTCAAAGTCAACAAGTATTTTGTGGGACTTCTTGTGATCTTGTTTTCATATTCACTAAATATTTTGTATTTTGAATTGTTCATCTTTAAACAATAAAAAGAATCGCCCCCAAAATATGCTCGAGGAAAAATCTACGATCATTTGAAGTTTCACGAATGTAACTTTAAAGATGTACTTGTGAAAATTTGAACTTCAAACGGACATAAAACACGAATTAGAGGTCCGATCAAGCCGATTTTTTTCCAACCTGATTATTTTTTTGATATCTAAGCAAAAAAATACCACGCCCTGCCATAAGACTTATAGTTTTACGTTTATCAGTTTTTGACCATAAATAGTGTAAAATTATAAGAAAAAAATGAAAGTCAAATCGGTCAAAGGTATTGGGTCTACCGCGTAGATATAAAAAAAAAGCAAGTCTAAAAAAAGAATCGCCCCCAAAAGATGCTCGAGGAAAAATCTACAGCCATTTGAATTTTCACGAAATGTGACTTTAAAGATGTACATGTGAAAATTTGAATTTAAAACGGACATAAAACGCTCGTTCGATGTCCGATCGAGTCAATTTTTTTCCACCTGATTATTTTTTTCGATATCTACGCAAAAAAATACCATGCACTGTCATACAACTTATAGTTTTACATTTATCAATTTTTGATCATATATTGGGCAAAACTATAAGGAAAAAACGAAAGTCAAATCGGTCAAAGGGATTGGGTCTACCGCTTTGATCTAAAAAAAATAAGCAACTTTAAAAAAAGAATCTCCCCCAAAAGATGCTCGAGGAAAAATCTAAGGCCATTTGAAGTTTCACGAAATGTGACTTTAAAGCAGTAGTTGTAAAAATTTGAACTTCAAACGGACATAAAATGCGTATCTGATGTCCGATCGAGCCGATTTTTTTCTGACAAAATTACTTTTTTGATATCTACGCGAAAAAATACCACGCCCTGCCATAGGACTTATAGTTTTACGTTTATCGGTTTTTGACCATATATAGGGCAAAATTATAAGAAAAAAACGAAAATCAAATCGATCAAAGATATTGGGTCTATCGCGTAGATATCAAAAAAATAAGCAAGTTTAAAAAAACAATCGCCCCCAAAAGATGCTCGAGGAAAAATCTATAGCCATTTGAAGTTTCACAAAATGTGACTTTAAGGGGGTACTTGTGAAAATTTAAACTTCAAACGGACAAAAATCGTTGAAACAAGGGATATGCCGCTTCGATGCTCGTTTAACCTTCAAAATGGGTCGGACTGGCCGTGAGGGCTAACCGGCTACATAGACAAGGTCTTGATGGACGTCCACAAAATAATTTGGCATATTTGACGTCGGAATCAAGATAACCCAAAAAATGGTTTGCTATAGCACACGAAAATTGTCGAAATGAGGGGTATGCACGCTTCGGGGCTCGTTTGACCTTGAAAATTGGTCAGACCTTCCGTGAGGGCCAACCTTCTACATAGCCAAGGTCTTGACGGACGTCCACAAAAACTTTTGGCATTTTTGATGTCGGAATCTGGATCACCCAAAAAATCGTTTGCTATAAAACACGAAAATCGTCGAAATGAGGGGTATGCTCGCTTCGGGGCTTGTTTGACCTTCAAAATGGGTTGAAGTGGACGTGAGGGCCAATTGGCTACATAGAAAAGGTCTTGACGGACGTCCACAAAAAAATTTGGCATTTTTGACGTCGGAATCCGGATCACCCAAAAAATTGTTTGCTATAGCACACGAAAATTGTCAAAATGAGGGGTTACGCAAGCTTCGGGACTCGTTTGACCTTCAAAATGGGTCGGACTGGATGTGAGGGCCAACCGTCTGCATAGACAAGGTCTTGACGGACGTCCACAAAAACATTTGGCATTTTTGACGTCGAAAACCGGATCACCCAAAAAATGATTTGCTATAACACACGAAAATAGTAGAAATGAGGGGTATGCTCGCTTCGGGACTCATTTGACCTTCAAAATGGGTCAGACGTGCCATGAGGGCCAACCGCCTGCATACACAAGGTCTTGACGGACGTCCACAAAAGTATTTGGCATTTTTTATGTTGGAATCTGGATCACCCAAAAAATGGTTTGCTATAGCACACGAAAATCGTCGAAATGAGGGGTATGCTCGCTTCGGGGCTCGTTTGACCTTCAAAATGGGTCGAACTTGCTGTGAGGGCCAACTGGATGCATAGGCAAGGTCTTGACGGACGTCCACAAAAAAATTTGGCATTTTTGAAGTCGGAATCCGGATCACCCAAAAAATGGTTTGCTATAGCACACGAAAATCGTCGAAATGAGGAGTATGCTAGCTTCGGGGCTAGTTTGACCTTCAAAATGGGTCGGACTGGACGTGAGGGCTAACCGGCTGCAAGGCAAGGTCTTGATGGACGTCCA